ATAAATTTCTATTATTTTAAAAAAGATTTTGATATAAAATTTAGTATTATCTAGTAAATTTAATGGCAACTGTTGTATAAATGTGGCTTTAATGCGAAATGCATACTGTGCTCAAAAATATTTGTTGGAGCGACAATCAGACTGGTATAGTTTTATAAACAATGGTTTAAGCTTCATATTTTGCAGTTATTATTGCTTCCTAAATACTTCTAATTATATATTGAGCAGTCTAATACCTTGTTAATCTAGTGATATTACTGTGAATAGGCATAGACATGTAATAAAACTATAACATTTGCTAATGGTATTCATCGTATATTTTGTCAAGAACTACTCTTTTACATGAGATTATTAGATTATATTAACTTGTTTATTATTTTATTTATAACCAAATAACAATATGCATTTTTCACAAGTAATCAGACTCCTCTTGTGTGTAACACACACCGATGTAACCTCCTCATCGACAGAAAAATTCTCCGTACGTGAGCTTCATTTTACTTGAGTGTATTCTGAGTGGAAGTTCAAAGACCACACTTTCGTGTTTGTGGGACCACGAAACCACATAGAAACTTTTTGTTATGTGAAGCAACACACGAGCACTACACATATATCCACATCTATATGTTTATGTGTGTTTCGTTTGGGTTTATACCCTGGTTTACACGCATTAAAATAACAGCATCACGCACGTTGTAAACGGAATTACTTTGAAAAAATGTCTGGATTTTCATTGTTAATTTAATTTGAGTTTGTTCAATAGAAGAACACAATGAATTGAATTTTATCAGTATTGTAAAGTTATCTAATCTAATTAGAACATGAAATATCGAGAGTATATCGTTTAAAATATTGAAAATCGGTTGAGTGAACATTGGAAACCACTGAGTTTCGAACTCTGTTTTAATTACTTAAGTTTGTCAGATTATTGTAAAGCTAATATGATAAAAGATTCAGTGGGTATTATTCAATGTTGAATATAGATTCAAGGTTGAATGGATACCTACCAATGTGGATAGCCGATTAGACAAGAGTCTGATCAGCTATCCACCCAAAAAAGTTTTTATTCAATAAAAAGACTAGCACCACAATATAATCAGTCTACATAACTCAAGCCACCTACAACATACGCGCAACGCACACTCTCATTTCTCGGAACGGTTGGGAACAGTGTGAGCGCGAGTGCTAGCTAGATTCCTATAAATATTTGTACTTATAATCGTGCATTTTGCCAATGCCGAAATCGTTGCAAGGTATTTTCTGTGACAAATTTGTAATCGGCTCATACGTTACCCATGGGACGAATAGGGGTGGTGACATTTCATGTTTCTAATCTGTCACCACACGGGCAGTTTCCACACATATAATTGTATATTTATACACGGTGTAAGGGACATCGTAAATAAATATGTAGTGCATTCAGACCATCGTTCTGAGTCTGAAATCATTGGTATTTTCTGCCGGCAAATTAAACTTTTTATGCAATCAGCTCTCAAAGGTCATTCCCCGTAGGTATCGCATAAAAGTAATAACTACATGCGTATTCTGCGCAAACAGTCTACGCGCACTAATACAAGTTGGCGGCCGGAGGAGAGGCCCCACGCGCTTCGGCTGTTCAATTAATTACATTGCAGTTTTTGACGGCATGCCGTTTTTTTTTAATTTGCTTTTTGTTATTTAAATTTTCTTAATGTTCTATTTACTCATTGTGATATCATTTTTAACCAAAAAAAGGAAAATTATAAAAAAAATGATGAATTTTCAGGCAGAAAATTCCAATGATTTTCGACTCAGAATCATGGCCTGAATAGACTATTATTGCCGTATTCGTTACGATGTATTGTATTATATTACAGATTGTCTTTTTTTTTATAAATTTACCTATGTGTACCTAAAAATGCTTGATTGATTGAACGTACAACCCTTTTCTAATATAAACATTGAGCCCCGTTATGATTGATCAGCGAGAATACTATTAATACTACTTCACTAAAAACATTCGATAAAGCAAAGTGGTTTTTATCTATCTTACTAGCAATTGATATAATAAGAAGTAACTGCACTTATTGTCGATAATCTGGTAGTGAAATTTCGATCATGATTAATTAAATTTTAACCTGTATATTTGCAACATTCCTTCTGAGAAGTTGAAACTTAATTTAATACTGGCAGGTGAAAATATAATAGGTCTTTGCCTATGAAATTGCCGTTTTGTATGCAATAAGTGAAAGTACTTATTTTTTCAAACTTTTTTATTTCTGTTATTCGAAGTAATCACCCATGCAATCGACGCATCTTTGCCAACGCATTGGCATCAATAAACTGCCAATGCGTTGACAAACTCTTCAAAGGCATTTTGTACTGCCTCTCGGGAATTGAATTTTTTACCCACTAAAAAGTTGTCTAAATTTTGGAAAAAGTAATAGTCGGTAGGTGCAAGGTCTGGTGCTCACATCTGCAACCAGCTTTGGTCAATCGGTCGCCCCCACTGCTCCTTCACGACAACGCGCGACCCCATACTGTGCAACAGACAGTCTCCAAGCTGCAAGAGCTGGGGTTGGAAGCTCTCCCTCATCCGCCATACTCACCAGACCTTGCACCTACCGACTATTACTTTTTCCAAAATTTAGCCAACTTTTTAGTGGGTAAAAAATTCAATTCCCGAGAGGCAGTACAAAATGCCTTTGAAGAGTTTGTTGCCTCCCGTCCAGCTGATTTTTACAAGAAGGGCATCAATAAACTGCCAATGCGTTGGCAAAGATGCGTCGATTGCATGGGTGATTACTTCAAATAACAGAAATAAAAGAGTTTGAAAAAATAAGTACTTTCACTAATTGCATACAAAAGGCAATTTCATAGGTAAATACCTCATATTTTGTAGCCTTTAACTTAATTATTGAATTTAGAACACATTTTGTTTAAATTTTTCTATATTCTATTTATGTACTATATTCGGTATTCCCGTTTTTATTACATTCGTGATGGAAATTTGCAAAAAGAATGGTACGAAGATTTTACCTCAAGTATTACTTTTTAGAATATATACTTACTCATAATTATTTTCACTAAACGAAAATATACCTAATATACCTATTATTTAAGATTATTATGAGCTACCTAATCCCATAAATACTTCCAATTACTTCATTATTGATTACTAGGTTGATGATTAGGGGACACTTTTACTCGAATAACTTTAATCAGAAATGTTGCTCCATATTCTCGATTCTTAGATCTCAATTTATATCGTTGATATTGAGATTTAAATAGTAGGAAGAGACCAATCTTTATTCTTTAACTTAGGTCTAAAATATAATTCAATACCTGTTCCATTCGAATATCACATTGTAATACTTGGTATTTCATTGTATTCATATTTGTTTTCAATTCTAAACGGTCACTTACTGCTTTTTGAAATTAATACTTTTAATTTAAAATTTAAATTTAAAATAAAAATTAATAGTTGGTACAGCTTGTATAAATGCTTTTCGTAATCACTATCTTAATTTCCCACTCTTTTAGATTTTTTTGATTTCTAAGTATTATTGCATTTATAGATATGATAGTTTTTCGGAAGCAAAGGTTACCATATGACATTAACATTCTTTGGTATTCTTTTTAAAAAGCGCTGTATATTTGGAATACAAAATAAATATAATCAAACATAAATAGCAAAGGTGTTAGAATACCGTAGTACTCGAATGGAATAGATCAAATAAACTATATCAAAAGCATAGGCATAACGTTCCATTAAACTGCGAGGCGCGAGATTAACTAACAGAGATTATGAGCCGTCAAAGCTGAGTGCGAACGTGCGAAGTTATACATATATTCAGCTGAGTAACAAGTTCTCGTACAAATTGTTTTGGAGTAAGCTCCGAGGCAAAACAGCGGCGCATCAGCTTGGCCGCATAGTTGGGAGGGCACTTTGAGAGGAATGCCTCTCTCACTCTGTCCTACCTTTTCAAAAGCTACCTTTTAACTACACTCCTTTGTATACTATAGCCATAGGTTAGCGCACGCTGTCATAAGTACATGTTTCGGTCATAAGTTCTATTTCTTCTTGGGACGTTACTTATACAATAAGATAAACAACCTTCTTGTTTTTCATAATAAAACCAAATTTGAAACCAAAAAGATACTTACAAGTTATCTCCTGACCCTCACATATGAGGACACAGAGGCTATTCTACACCCTCAGATATGATCATGCACCCCCCCCCCCCCTCACACACACACTCACACACATACATGCACACAGACATACACACACATTCTCACATACATCACAAATGCATTATTACATTTATATAAATTGATATGTAACTATGCATGTTTTGGTATTAATAAGTAAGACAACATACTGTGTAAATTAATTTACAACTTGTACAGGGCAATTTTAATTAAATTATGTATATCTGCATTTAATAACTCAGTGTCACTGGAAGGTAGCTGGTACCTATATCTCAGGTTTTACCTTTTTAGGTACCAGCCGCATATTCTATATGTAATTGTTATAGCTAAAAAAATGAGCGCCCATTTTATCACTATTTTCTGTACAATTTACCTTGAATAAATTGAAAAAAAATTGAAATTCTACGAAATCTACGATCATAACGAATTGTTGCTTTTAGAGCCCGTCCGCACAGCAATATTGTTTTTTTGTGCAAAACTCAATGCCACATTGGATCTTTATAGGACTATCCGCAGACGCGAAAAAAAAAAACTATGATTTGATGCAATTTGAACGCGATACGGTGTCGATTTATTTCCACGCGAACCCAGCGGTGAAATATCGCTGTGCGGACGAGCCCTAACTTCAATCTGTCAAAACCAACTTGTCAAACGAAACTTGCAAATTTGTGACGTGAAATGTCATAAACGATTTGTACTTAAAGCGTTTCTTCCATCCATTCCATTCTTATTTTGTTGTTTGTACCTATTTGCTATCGGAAATTTTGATTATCCTTATCTAAATGAAAGGAACCCAAGTCCTAGAGATGGCAGATAAACAAAAGGTAGATCTTGGCCTCCTCGAAGAGGACGATGACTTTGAAGAATTTCCCACCGAGAATTGGGGGCCAGAAGCCGATGCTGAGGATGAAGATGTGTCAGTATGGGAGGATAACTGGGAAGATGATATCATCCAAGATGATTTTAATCAGCAATTGAGGCAGCAAATGGACAAGTTGAAGGATCAGAATATGGAGTAGAGTAGCTAACAGTACTCGCATACTATTAAAATTATCTCATTACATCCCAAGTTATTCATCAATATAAATTATAAATCTTAGCAGAACCTCGTGTTTATTTACTCGTAGTAAGACTAATGAATATTGCTAATTTGTTAGCGCTTAACACTTCAATAATTTATCCAACTTTGAAGGAAAACATGACTATTTAATTAAAAGCTTTCAATGTAAAAAAAAATTTTTTTATCTATTTTCATAGTGTAATTTCATATGGTATTTTGTTGTGGGGAAATGCTGTTGATAAATCAAAGTATCTTTGTGTTGCAAAAGTGAGCTATTCCAATAATTTAAAATCTTAGTTTCAGGCAGTCACTGAAGGATAAGTTCGAAGAAATAGCTATTATGACAGTCGCATCTCAATACATCTATGCAAATTTAGTGGTGGTAAAGGAAAATATTCATTTATTCACAAAGTTTAGCGACTTTCATAAATAAAATAATAAATGTACTTAACCCGCAAATGATACAACAATTTATTTTATAAAGATATTTTATTAAACATTTTTTTCTGTAAAATAGATTAATTAAAACTGACATTTACAACAAACAACTATAAAATTCTTTGTATTATCTCTCTAACACTAATTATGTTAATAGGTCCTGTTTAATGTTTGGAATTTTCTAGTATAGCCAAATGAATGCATTGACAGTTCTCGCGCGGTGGCGATATCTTAGAGATAATCAAACGATAACATTTGAACACGTAGCATATCGTATCACACAAGGATGGGTGGGGATGCATTTAACTAACACATACATTTAATTGTCGATACAATTGTTCGTAATTACATTTATATTGGCTAGTTGCTCAGCGTTAGCCTCGCTGCCGTCGTTCGGCGGATTCCCAACCTGTCGCAATCTCTGGGTTCCCTTTGTTTACGTATACGTTTCTGGCATGTTTAGACATAGCTGTTTCTTGCCGTGCGTCTACCGCGTACATTTTTATACGGCCGTTCTGAATTCGTAAAAATATATTTACGATGCATGCCGAACGATTTGCGACAGGCTGAAAGTTAGCATTATGTGGGGCACACTCGTCTAGCTTACGTTAAATATTATATTTGTAACATGGAACATCAATGTTCTCTGAGTGTTCTCCTACTACCGTCAGTTTGGCGTTTTATTAAATACCTACATGTTTCTTCAACCAAGTGTTATTTGGTATGTGCTTCAGGTTTACTAATAACTGATTACTACGATAATAAAGACAAGGATGGTATAAAGTGTGTGTTTACAGTTTGTTGTGTTTCGTCGTGTTTTTAATAAAAACAAAAACTGTCCCATTAGCAGTTTCTAGATAGAAAAAAATATCTAAGAAGCGTATTTATGATGTGTTATAACGCCTTCGCCTTAACTTTACAACATCGCAAAGAATAGCCGTAAAATTCTGTTCATAGAAACTACTTACTGGACGGATCATAGAGGGATATTTGAATACCTCCACGGAGTAAATAAAAATTAAAATAAATGATGCGCAAACATTTATTTTCTGTAAACAGTCTGAAAGGTATTCGGATAGCTAAATAAGTTAATTAACAATTTCACGTTGAACTAACCAATATTATTTTTGATGGTTTATTTTCGTTAGACTCTAACATTGATACAGTAGATTTCTAATCGAATATGTTAGAAAAATATTAAAAAGGGGAATAAAAGTCATACAATCGAAACGCCCCTGTTGGTAGTAGGAAAACACTGAGTTGGCGACTCTGGCACGTGTCCTACTTCTATGTGTATGGCTGCGATCGGTAACCGTGAAAGGCGATGCCAACCAAAGCAATTGTTTCTTAATGGCGGTTCTTTTATGCCAATCTATACATATATATATATAAGAGATTTCCACGTATATAGTCACTCATCACGATATCTCTGGAACTATTAGAGCTAAAGACTTGAAATTTGGTAGGAATATTCTTTTCACCGAGTAGAGGTCAGCTAAGAACGGATTTTAAGAAATTAAAAAAAAAAAATTAAGTAATGTAAATAGCAAAACAACGTTTGCAGGGTCAGCTAGTTTTATATAATTCTATCAAATTGAAAAAAACATTTCTCTTTTATGTGTGTAAAATTGTTTAATTTATTACTTACATAAAGTTATTTGAAAACCTTTTTTTGACGGTCGATAGATTGTTAAAGAGTGATTCTGCAAATCTTGATGCTTACAGTATTTATTTAAGTATACTTGAAATAGGTTGGAAATAAATCAATATTGGTTATTTAGATCTAGGACAGATATCTGGAACCAAATGACGACTGTTAGGAGTAAGTAAGTATACATTACGAAGGTCATGTTTCTTGCCTGATCCCAATAGGCAATGCCTTTGTTCTAACACAAATATTTAATATTGTTTTATTACTACCTTTTGTATAATAGTCCATGTAACATGCTATCAAAATAAATGATCAAAAAGGAAATTAAATATAAGGCTTATATCGCCCAATTTTTTAAATAGAATTGATAAGCATCTGTTTTCTGTGGGGTTTAGTATAACTCCAGTCTAGCTGGTCCATATCTACCGAAAAATAGCTCTCCCAAGGTAATTTTAATCCAATTTATCAAGTTTCATTCTTTATAAAAAATAATTAAATAATAGTAAAAATCTAAACTTTAACTTAAGCTTTCAAAAGTACTACTCCTTCCACAAACATGAGTAGTATACGGAAAAGTTTAAGCAAAAAGGAACAGTACGTGTCTGACATATGATATAATGCCCCTGCTGAATCCACATTTACAACAGAGTAATGCAAATGTTTGTCTGTCTTTTGATTGTCGCTACAAGGTTCAGATCATACTGAATTTTTTTATGGAAGAATTTTTTTTGAGACCTTAAAAAGAGTGGAGGAAAGGAGTTCCCAACGAAATCGCTGATCCGATGTTAATTAAAACCGATGTAGGGATGGGTGATGACACGAGGAGGACGTCATAGGAATTTTGTCGTTAATTAACCCCCATGTTTGTAAAACTGTGGGTTAGCTCGAAATGTAAGCAATTTAATATTTTTGGGACTATTATATTACAAATATTTTAAGACGTAAACGTAATGAAAATTAGTATAGATGTGTTATTTATAAAAAAAAACAAGATTAAAAAAAACATATGCATCACACAACTGCACAATGTTTTACTTGAATCGGTGGCATGATGTCATTTTACCCGCATAGCCATAATGTGCGATTTGTGTGCATTTGCCCCGTGTTCACCAATCGCAACCACACGGCCTGTTTCCTGTTCTTATACTTACAAATAGTAATTCGCAATTCTCAATGCCTTTGCCGCAGAACGCTAACACATTTTATATAATAGACTACCTAACCGCTCACATCAAGTGCATTGAAATCGATGTCTAAGTACGACAAAATCACCGGAGCGTACGACACTGATTCTGCAACTCTATTTATCGACAAGAATGTTCTTGTCATGAGAATATTAATCTACAACAACTACTATACAAAAAGCTCTTATTCTTAACAGATTTAAGCACAGTTTTGAAAGCTCTTGATTAGAGTTGAACAATTGGGACTTTATAATACTGAACAAAACGATTGTGCTGAAGCTTCAGTGAAGTGAAATCTGACATTAGTGATATTATCCTTGTATGTACTGAAAGAATACAATTAATAGGTTAGCGTATTTTACTGTATTAATAAATAATATGTATGTTGTGCTCATTGATAAACTTATAAGCTTTATACGTATATTATATATAAATTGTATTGGTATCCATTAAATATACAATAATTTTTATAATACCTAGTAAATACATCATCAGGTTTGATAGCTAAACATCTATAATTTTATGTAACACGGGCGTTAAATTACTTCATTGTGCTTATAATGGTACAGTTACCACGCCACCAAATATTACGAGTACGTTAAATCTATTTCCTTCACCAAAGAAAGAAATCTAACTTGCCCTTATTGTATTGTTGATTGTTCCCGATTGAAGTTGGTACTTTTATTATTATATTGTATCGCATACATAAAGTTATGCTTCTATAGAACTACAAACATCCACCCTTAACCGCGACCTCCGCCGTTGTTCTCTAGAGGCAACATTATTAGCAAATATCTACATTTAACCCGTGTTGGCAATACGTACGTAATGAAACCACAAATTATATTTCTTCCTTTAGTTCCATACATTTGGAGTCTTAAACATATGAGACAATCTCAGAATATTAACTATCTTGGATTATTGACTTGCTGTCTTTTAACATCCTATCCTTTTCAACAAATAACATTTTCATTCTTTTCTATTTTTCACAATTTTCCATTGGCTACCTACACGTCCTTTCGTCACTCTCAAATCTTCAATTCTCAAACGAGTAATTTATCTATGTCTATGTATGTATATTCTCTCAGTTCACATTCCGTTGCGTCACAGCCGTGCGTGCATATATGGGCAATTTGTGCGTTCACATGCGCCGAGCGAGCAGTCGCACAGGACTGGGGCAGGCCGTAGTGGAGGGCTCACGTAGGCCCTGGCGGAGTGGTGCTCACCGGTTGATCTAGACGAAGCGCAGCGGGCTCGTCAGGTTCGTCCGGTCCGGTGGGTGGCGTGCCGGTCACTGGGTCTGGCTCGGCGGGTTCCTCCGGCGGCGCAGCAGCCGGACGCACGTTGTCGAGCCGCGGCCGCGGCGAATAGCGCGGCGTCAGCGCAACGCCGACGACTGGGTGCGATTTAAGACTTCCACCTGGAGGACGTCGTGCATCATGCGCTCGTTCTCCTGGCGCACTGCGAACAAGCACGGAATCAGCTTTATCATAGTTACGATATACAGCAAGTGAGGGGCGGGTTGGCAGGGATTATGTCCCTTTTACTCGGTACCTTTCGCTACGGTGCGAGGGAGGGGGTTAGTAAACATTATTGACTTTAAGGTAAAGGTGGTTTACTGGTCAGAAGTCACAGAGGAATAAGTCAATCTAATAAGGAAAGTACACAAACAATGAATTGTGAAATTTATTTGTTAGCGGTTTTGATACTCCAGGGTAAAATGTTTAGTTGAAAGACGTCTCACGTAATTATATCCAATGTTAGGTTTGTAAGTATGTCTAAAGCCTGCACAGAAAGTTAATAATACATTTCTTCATGTTAGTTGTTAAGTTCTAGTTTACAAAAATACACAGAGTGAATTTTCATAGATTCACATATTTTGCTTTGGTCTAATGCAATACATCCGAACTTTTACTATTTTCGAGCAGCATCCGAAGCAGTAGTATCCGTAGTAGTAAATATGTGTTTTTTTTATTATACGTGCTCGCGTAAAGCTGGAATCAACCTCTTTATTTTTTTTGCGAAAGCAAATTTAAATGATTTTTAAATTTGAAACCAATGTGATAAACATTTGCAGCCCAGGATTGAGATTTATAAGTCAATTTCTCTTGCATTTTTTTCAGGGCAATCATACAAAACTATAAAAAGACGAAGACCGCTTAGAAACTTGTGAAAATGAAAAACCTGCTAAGTAAGAAGTAGCAATAAGATTTTATAGATCTTAGAGAGATCATTGAGAATGACCACACTAGATTAACTCAGAATATGAATCTACATAGCTTATCGCTCTATAGATTCCCAAAATTTTAATAATGAGATTTTGAAAGAATAACAAACAGAACCAACTTTTACGGATATTTTATATTATTATATAGAGAAATCCATATAGGATCCTTGATCTCAGGTGGAGATGTAACCCTTCAAAAAGCAATATTTTTTACGCTACATTGAAACAAATGAGGTCACGACCACAGTGAAATTTGAGAGTGTACAGAACACATTGCAAATTGCTACTCTGACAGGAGAAAACTGGTCATCAGCACAGCGTTTAAATAACATATTGCATTAGTATGCTCAACAGGGCATTTTTATCCACGTTTCATGGTAATAATGACTTTACTTGAACGTATAATAATTATTAAATTATATGTCTATAGTTATCTAATATTCATTGATGACCGAATGGCGTAGTGGTTTGTGTAACGGAGTGCTATTCCAACAGTCGCGGGTTCGACTCCCGCTCAAGTCAAACAATTGTGTGCAATTTAATGTTTGATTGGGTCTAGGTGTTTCTATGTATAATAAGTACGTATTTCCAAAAAAAAAGTATGTATATGTATTTATGTCAGTTGTCTAGTAGCCATAGTACAAGCTTTGTTTAGTTTGGGACTAAATGGCATTGTGTGAATGTGGTAGAATATTACTATTATTATTTTACAAAGTAAAGCTTCAAAACATTTAGATCTTTTGTGTTATTCTAAGAGTGCGTTAACTAGATCCAACAATGCACTCAAGAAAACAGTCGGAACATGTTTGATTCGCATTAGCATCGTTACAAATAATTGTACTTCGTAACTGTATCCAAGTACTGCAGAACTAGTTAAACGACATTAATGGTCCTAAACAAATACAAAGGGGAGTGTCGACATCCGACGTGATCGAGCCTTGAGTTCATGAGGGTACTTCTTAAATGGGATATATTACTGTTAACTCTCTAAGTAAACGAATCTCTTGTTAGAGGGCTCCTACGTTAACTGTTCAACAATGAAGATTTGTTTCAGATTTTTTTGTATTAAATGTGAAACGCCGTCTATCGTTACGGATTGTTCATTTAAATTCTGATTTTTTTATTCCCAGCCCGTATCGGTAAGTATTTTCTTCTGCTGACTGTAAAATAATTAGAACTTACAACTGACAGAGACTGAAATTGTTCTCAAAATGTATGTTATCTATACAAATAAATAAAATTGGAGTGTCTGTTTGTAATATTAAAATAACCGCTTTTTACTAAATGCATATGTATGTTTACACGGTACATATGTCAAAATAACATTTTTTACTATTTTTGTTCTGTTTGTTCTGGGTAATCTCTGGAACGGCTGGATAGATTTCGACGCAACTATTTCACTAGCAGATAGCTGATGACATAAGGAGTAACTTAGGCTACTTTTTTTAGACTAGCTTCGCCCCGCGGCGTTGCCCGCGGTTATAACAACAAACACGGGTAACACCGTGGGTCTCAGCTAGTCAATACTAAAAGTTACTAGTACACAGTAACTCTTGTTAAAATAATCTCTTGGTTGTTTTTGGGTTGCTTCTGTGTACTAACTTTTCTTGGTAACAAAACTTCAGATAGCAGTCTCGGTCTCTATCTATTTCTTTCTAATGCCACATTTCAATACCATTTGTATTACTTGTTGTGTTATGTATGTATTTTAAACTAGCTAATTATTTTAAAATATTACGCTATTTCAACACGCAAACTTTTTTATTCTAGAGTAGATAAAAATATTTTTACACGGACACATGCTTAAAGGGGGGGGGGGGGGAGGAATGGGGGGGGGAGAATCTTTGCATTTTTTACTAAAATTATTTTCTGATTAGTGTTTATAGTGAGAATGATGCGAACAAAGTCTGTTTCTGACAATTTGCTCTGATGGCTCAATCAGTGAAAACGTCGATGGAACTTACTTCACTAGATACAAGCTGGTTAAGTAAGCTGTCCATACTGACTGACAGAATTACAATCAGTTGAACGCTGTAGGCTAAATGCTGAGTAAATCAAGACTATCAATGTAAAAATTTCTTGATGGTAAAAAAATTGTTTGACGAAAACGCACGAAGCGACTGAAAAAGTCATAATATAAATTTTAACGATTAATTTTTAATTTAATGCACCTACTCTCAATCTTTTCAGGTAGACGAGCAAGTGCAAGACATCCATCAAGTTTTTTGACGAATAGAACGCTTCATAATTCAGATGAAATTATGAAGCTACCCGGAAAATGGACAAAGATAATAGATTCTAATATGCAATATGGGCTTGTTCAGCATTAATTTTTAATAAAGTTTTTTTTTAATTTACAAAGAAACCGCAGAAAGTTTTTATACGGTCTATATAGTATTATAGCGTCCGTTAAAAATGTTAAATAAATCTGTTTAAGGAGATTTACTACTGGTTTTAAAAAGTGGTATTTGAATTGAATACATCTAAGTCTAGGTACGGTTTTAAATACTAAAATCTGTTTCGAAAATATTTTAACAAAAATTTTACAAAAGCATTTAATTTGAACGTTTAAAGTTACAAATGCGTTAGACGAAATATAAATTGAAGGGATAATATGTAGATGTCAGTCATTAAGGTTTTCACTTGATGAGCTGATGCAAATCGACGGGCTGCGCACACTTCGGCAAACTTTTCGGAGTATTAAGTATGCAGAAAACCACACATACTCCTATGTACGAGTACCTACATCTAATGTATGTAATAATATAAGCCTTTTTATTTCTAACAACCTAACCCAACATGTATTTCTTAAAAACTACTTATATGCCTATATTATTTTATTCTGTTATTGGATCCCCACTTTGAGTATAGACCTCCTCCAGCCTACTCTATGTTCTCCTATTTTTGGCTTTGCTTCTCTATTCCTTTTCTGCTCTTGCTATTATTTCATCTACCATTTTTTTTTCTATTTTTTTCTGTCCATCTTTTGTCCGTGTATCTCGTTAGATGTCCTGCCCAAAGCCACTTTTGTGTTACAGCGACCTTGAGAGCATCTATTACTCTTGTCTGTTTTCTTATGTGTTCGCTTCTTATCTTCTGAATTTTTCTTATTTTCATTATGCTTCTTTGCATCGTTTTCTGACAGGTCACTAATTTTGATTTAATTTTTTGTGTTGTATGTCTACACTTGGCAGCCGTATGTGAGAGTCGGTAGGATACAGATGTCCATAACAGTCTGTTTCATGTGAAGGAGGAAATGCCCTTTTAGGATTTCTTTTAAGCTCTAGAATCTTTTCCAACTCATACTCACCCTTTGTTTTTCTTTTCTGTGCGGATATCCCCTCGTATACCACTTACCGGTGGGAATGTCGAACTCGAACCTACTAAAACCGCACGCCGTCTCAGGTACCAGTAGTCGGGGAACCAGGTGTACCCTAGAAAGGAAATCCCTGGTGCCCCGACGTACCTCGGGCCATCTACGGCGGGTAGACGACCCCCCCTGTGTGGGAACCCCCATGGTCCCTCTGAGCTCCCGGAAGGGCGCGCGCGCTTCTCAACGCGCTCACCGGCACCCCGGCCTGCTTCTGTTAGGGTGACAGATGGCCTCACCTGTCACCCCCAGGCCTGCGCTTATGGAGGACGGAGGTCGTTATGCGACCTCCGGCGCCTGAGTCGTCTGCGGTGCCTGGCCCGTTCCCGAGCCTGGCGGGCCGGGAGAGTTCTAAACCTCTCCCGGTCCGGCAACTCATACTCACCCTGCGTTCGACTTCCTCCTCCTCGCTATTGTCTTCAAATGATATTGTTTTGATAAAATATATAAGCTGTTTACATAGTCTAATGATTTGCCACACAATATTAATTTATTTGTAGTGTTTGTGCTATTTGTCATTACCTTAGTTTTATCATGGTTCATTTTGAGCCCGTTTTTTTTTACTTTCTAATCTAATGTATGTAAATGAATTATATTACTTTGGTAAAAGTATGGAATACTTTAAGGTCACTAATCCGTTTTGATGCTTTTAATCGCACTCGGTAAAAAGGTACCAACACTCATAAGAATTAAGCAATAAAACTACTATAATTCAATATTGATAATGTTAAATAAACAAGTATAAAATTATGCCAGTATAAGGTTATGAAATAGTAAATATTTTTACCTACCTAATAAGAAACCTAAACTACTCGTACCTACCATATTGAAAACTGATAAATGCATAGATTTTATTCAAATCAAATATCTTTTCCTTTCTTACACATTTAAAAAAGGACCACCAAGAAGAATATACTTTTAAGTACATATTTCGTAATTCATCATATTAATTACTTTCTTTAATATTACGATTTCATTAAAGAAATCCTTGACTTCATCGTTGTTAAAAAATCATATAATATTTTCATTTGGTAATTAAGTTTAATTATATTTTCAAAGAGCAATCTCATTCAAATATTGACTTAACTGTGAAAATTAGTTCCTGTAAAATTTATTGAGTTCATTTCATACCAATTTTATATGAGTTCGTGGAAAATTCTGTTTAACTTAATCAAGCTGATTCTTGTTTTCACTATTTTCATTTATAAATCACATTACTAAATATCCTTTACGGATACATTTAGTCGGCGTTTTAGGGTTTAGGATAGTGACTTTGACTGCTAAGCCCGAGTTCGTGGGTTCATTTCCTACCTAGGACAAATAATTGTGTATCTTTTTAGAGCTCCATCTACCGCACCGCAACGATTGCCACAGGTGTTAACGTGCTGTCCGAGGAAGGGGGGTGGGGGGGTCTGAATGTTTTAAGAATGGGCACCCATACATATACTGACCTGGCCAGGATTGCTTAACTTTGCAATGTGTTAACCTACTCGGTTACCACTTAGCCACGAGTCGCGAGTACAAATTAACCATTTAATATTTAACATTATAATCGATTTCAAAAGGATATACATTTTTTTTTCTATATACCTAACGAATACAATTTTACACTATAGGTACACATTAAAAAAAAGTCAAAGTACATTGCTTTTAAGAAATATTTGATTTTAATCATAAGACACGGTCACATTTTTATATCATCTATATGACGTCACTCAATATTGAAAATATGATATATAAGTAACCATTTATTGTTATTTTATTATTAAAGAGCCCACAGCAAATATGTTTATCTGGTATGTATAATGTTGCTGTTCCGTCCCCATTCCTCGGATTAATCAGAAATAATCATTATAACTATTCTGTATTTTGTTATTGGACCGTACGATATATATTTGGCAAATATCTATCCTTGTAATATAATATTCGAGTTCTCTCTCAGATTAATATCTGTGTTAATGGATCTGCAAACCTAATTATCAACTGACATTGTAAATTCACAAACGAGAAGAAAAATGCGTGGCATATGCTTTAGTCTGAGGTCCAGATTGATGTGGTAAATTTTTCACCACATTTTCTTATTCAGCTTATGAAAATATAGAACAAAGATATTATAATGATTCAAATTTAAATGAGTACCTAATTCATTTAAATCATAATTTATAGTTTTTCAATGTCACAATGTGAACCTAAAAGTAGCCTATACTTATCGTTTGGAACAGTTTTTAATTTAAGAAATAATCACGGTAAAGTACTTCTAATGACGACACTTGAAAAGTAAATAAATCAAAAAGAAAGTGGATTAGATAGACGAGAGAATAGATAGTATCCAGCTATAACGATCTATTCTTTTTTTTATATATCTTCGACTTCAAAGAATTATCCGTTAAATTATATTGTGGGAATTCTCCGCCTTGCACGATACCGTGTATCCAAGGGTTACAACCGACGGGTAGGGTAAATCAGATTTAGCCAACTGAAAATGGGTGTGTAGTGTCCGCAGATTTACCCTAGCAAGGTTATTCTAACAGACTTAAAAGGCAATATTTGGTGTTGTTAGCCTCGTTTAAGCATTTCAAAATAAAATATTTAAAAGTATATTTAGGTTTTGTTGAAAAGTATTTTTTTTTACGTTCTTTACAAATTTGATTCTAGTTTTAGTTAAAGTCTCTTTGTTAAAATCGCTAGCCTCTACTAAAGAGTTACCAGGAGAAATTGCTTTTTCTATGATTTGATAAATCTATAAAGGAGAGCAAAACCTTGCGTCTTGTTGCAAAACAACATAACAAGTAAAGAAGAAAGAACGCACAACAAATAGAATGTACCATAAACTAGTAAGTGCATCTACCTCACTCTTTCTCTGCATCGCCCAATCGGTCGACTGGCAGAGAATGCCTTAGGTATTAAATCCGCCAATTTGTGCATGAAGTCATAAATAAATAAAATAAATAACCTAACTAAAACTTAATATGTTACCTACTATTAAACTAACTAAAACTTAATTTATTGTGACGATCATAAACTTACGTAACTCTCAGTCAAGGACCTCATTACACATCGTTCTTTCGTTTTTAAAAACTAAGCTTCCCCTACTAAATTAGTATCTGTATATGTTTTTGTATGATAAGTATATATTCTATAAGTAAAGACCTATTTTACTACCTAAATACCTACCTGTTAAGGGTTTGCTCGAATTTGTATACACTAAGGCTGCCTATTGATATGCCAATAGTTTTTAATTATAAAAATAGTCTGCAAATGCCTTTCATGTACTCCTTATATTTGTATTCAGGCTATGAGAAATATTTAGTGGTACAATACGAGAATAGGCTTTGTATTAAAATTAATACGTCTACCAATATTTTACACAGGTATAATAAAATCATTTTAACATAAAAATAGACATTTAGATATTTTAGATAATTTATTAATCTTACAAAGTCGAATTTTGATTATACACTTGTTTCCTTTTATAGAAATCAAGCTAATACTTTTATACGGCAATCACTTTTTTATCAAAGGTATGCGATTACTAACATATGACTGACTGCACGGATGGCGTAGTCGTGTAAGCGGTCACCTCGCCGCTTATTACTGCGCTGATTGTTGTGGGTTCGATCCCCGCATGGAACAACTTAGTGTGATCCACAAATTGTTGTTCTTAGTCTGAGTGTTCTCTGTGTCCGTTTCATATATGTTTGTAAAATCCCCTGCGACACAGGAATATATTCCTAAGGCGGGAGGTGTCTTTTTAAAAAAAAAAGTAAAACATATCGTCAAAGAGTGTCTAGAACTTATCGCCTTCCGTCTGCTTCGTCAAGTTGTCAGTTAAGGTGACGAAAAAATCCCTTTGAGATTGAATCCCAAGATCGCAATCCCTGATCATGCCACAACAAACAAAATAACTCTTAATAAAATGCCTTGAAGTTAAAACGCTAAACATAATTAGAAGATAAATAAGTTGCTTTAAAGTACTAAAGACTTCACTTAAATCTTAACAATTTGTAAAAGAGTGTCCGTCATCTCTTAATGTTTCACTCTTAGAGGTGGAATATTAAAAAAAAAAAATGAACAGGACCAACCTTGAGTAGAAGTAATTCAATTTAAAATAGAAGGTGAAGATTCACAATACAAAATAATATTCAATCGAAATTAGACTTCTCGTTTTTGAAGTTTGTGAAAAATACGAAAATATCCACAAAATAAGTGTTAGGTACTTATAATGTGATATCAAAATCAATAATCTCACATGTTTGTGTGACACGTTATGAATAAGTATTCAAATGTCTGTGTCCCAGGGAATTTGTGAGACGTAATAGTGTCCGACGTGCCTACGGTAATATATAGTTGATACCCACTAAAAAAGTTTGGAGAACCGCCAGTGCATTCAAGTGGAAATTGGGGCCCCGCTTACCTTTCTGGCACGAGTCTACGATTATAGTACACTTAAATGACTGATCCTGTTTTGGCGTGTACGGGATAATTCAATAAGTAAAACTAGAATTAGTCATGTGACACATGGGCATTGTAACTTTTGTTAAAATCTAATCATATAAAATAACTTGTCCCGAGTGACTGCTTCATCAAACCAGAGTCTAAACCGCTGGGGATACAAACTTGAAATTTTGGCAGCTGATGCTTTTTGTGTTGAAAGTACCCACAAAGAAAGTATTTTTTGGAAATTTCACCCAAAGGGGATAAAATAAGAGATGAACGGTTGTATGACAGTTCGTCATTTTCAATGTTAGAAACATGAAATAAGACATAATCATAGGACTTAATTACACATCAAACCACAAGAATTGTAAGACTATACACGTGTAGGTGATTTTATAATAATCAAGCGATAACAGAAGCCGTTCACTTAGCGAACTCTTAGCTAAATTAAGTTAAATATATAATAATAAGGATTGTTAAAAAAAAACCGATAGAGCCTTACAGTAGGAGCATTGTGTGTGTAATATCTTCATTTACTATCTGTCACCCAAATCTGTCACAGCGCGTGCTCATTGATCAAATCAAACAGCTTCCTATTACCGCATTTCCGTCCCTTATCACGAAAATACTCTTACTCTTGCTGGAAAGCAATAGTTCAAATTTTGTTGTTGTGTCACATCGAAAGATGAAAATTGAAAACTTAAACGCATTTCATTATCATCATCATCGACATCCTTTAGTAGTCCACTACTGGACATAGGCCTCTCCTTAAAAAGGACGTTTTGGCCTACTATACCACGCTGGCCAGACGGGTAGGTAAAAGGTTTGTGTCAAGTTGTCCTTCTCTTTGTAGTGTTGTTGTCCTGTGTAGTTTGCTCCCTTAGTTCCCTAGATGCACGGGATGAATAGGGATAGTGACACTCCGTATTCCTAATCCATTACCACACCGTGTATCTAGTGTCTTAAAGTATTACGGGACATCTGCTTCAGATACGCTTTTAACCTATTATGAAGTTCAATTTCATGAATTCATATTCACTGACCCGAGAGGTGTTGATTTAGTCACCACCTCTCGCGTAGTATCACTCCTTACAATCTTGGGTTCC